AGCTCACCAGGGGTTGTGGGCAGGGAGAGTTCCTGCTGGTGACGAAGTGAGGATTTGGGGATTTTGTGCCGGGTAAATTTCCAAATCTGAGTTGTGCTTTTGTAACCCACTGAGGCTTTTGCCAGAGAGGCAAACTTTAACCAGAGGACAAGCAAAGAGCAGGATGGAATCATTCCTATAATGGCAAATAAATACAAAATCAGGAGAGCTGTGTTTTTTTAGGAGACCACAGGCAGTTTTGGATCTAAAACATTCATTCTTTTGGAGAGCCAGCCCAGTGGAGCAAACCTCATTTACAACTTGGCATTAGTTCCCGAGTTATCCAGCATTACGGTAACTCAGAGTCAGCAGAGGTCTCAGAGGCACAGGGAGCTTTCAAAGCTAATAAACCAACCAATAGATCTTTCTATTGAAAAAGCCAGGGAATTTCTATGCCAGAAAAAAAAAATCTTTGGTATTTTCTTGGGGTAATAAATGGACTTTTCATTTTAAACATTAAGGTCTAGCAAAACCAAGCAAATGACAAAGTGGTGGGATGCTGAGTGCAGATGCCTCCGTGGCTGCAGTGCCCTGGGAGGACCCTGGTCCGTGCCAGGTTCATCCCATCCCTCATCCAGGCACCCTGCCTGGAGATCCAGGGACACAGGGCAGCTGGGAGGAACAGAAACACACACAGAGTGTCATGAACATGGTGACACAGAGAGGGACGAGATCTGTCTTCCCCAGCTGCAATGGTGGCAAAAAAGATGGACAGGATGCACAAAGTTAAGGTAGCAGTGTTGTTTCTAAGCAAATCTGAATTGCTGGAAAGTTTATGCCATGTGAATCCATGTGAATCCCTCATGCTGTGCAGCTGAGTTTTCCTTTTTTTATTTTTTTTCCATTTTTTTTCCCTCTGCTCTGGTTGCTGGGATGCCAGGGGTGGATTGGCTGTGTTATCAGACCACAGCCTGGGAACAGCAACAGCACTGGCAGATGCTGAGGGATTTCACAGCTGATGCTGCTGCACAGCTCGGAGGGTAGCACAAGCTGTGGGACATCCCACAGGGGAGGGGACAGTGACAGCCCTGCCCGAGCTGGCAGCCCTCACAGAGCACAGGGCAGCTGTGGGGCCTGCCTGGGCAGGCTCTGACTCTGCAAGTGGAAAATCCAAGGAAAGGGAAACTGGATCCACACGGGGAATCCACTGCTCAGCAGTTTTCCTGGTTGGGAAGGACGGTGTCAGCCCAGCCAGGAGGGCAGAGCCAGTGCTGGGCTCTGGGATGACAGCATGGTTTCAAGCTCAGATGTTGCAATTGAAGATTTCCCTGAGCCCTTTCCAGCATCTGTTTGCCAAACTCCCTTTGAAGTTGCTGGAGCAGCTTTCCTGTAAATGCTGCTGCTGTCACAGGATCTCTGCCCAGGAAATTGCAGTGATAATGAACAGTGAGAGGGAAGGGTGGCATTTCATGTGAATGAATTACAGTGATGGACACTGCCCGAAGTACCCTACTTGCAAAAACATCCTTCATGCCCCGTATTGCACCTTCATGAAACTTGAGCAAGAGATTTCTCAGGAGGGTGAATAACTGGCACTGGTTTTGGTGGCTGGAGTATAACTGGGGTGGCTTGGGGCAGCACATTAATGCATGCAAGAGGCAACCTCTGCAATACATTGACCTGATCTAACATGTAATAGCCAGAAGGTTTTCTCCTCTGAAAATCTTTAAAATCCTTCTTCTGTTTTACTTGGACGGGAAAGCAAGACCTTTGGAAAAGTTTCACTAAAGGCAGAGGCAGAAAGCAGCATTTGATAAGGGACTTACAGCAGAGCCTCGGGCATTGCAGTGAACATTGTAATCTTTGGCATCTTAGGGTGGGTTTCTGGTCCCCTTTTGGGCTAATGCTCCATCTCAAGGCTGGGAGAAATTCCAGAATTGTGTTGCACCAGAAGTGGTTTCTTCCTCTGCATAGTTCTAGGTTTTATGTACAGATGTTTATAAGAAACAAAAGAGGTTCCCAGGCTCTGCTGTGGGGCTCTGCAGCAACCACTTGTACTGATTTATAGTGAAGATGACTGTCATCCTGAGGCTGATACAATTTCTTATTCCTGAAAATCTAAATATTTATTTAAATGTTTTTCAGGGAGCTGGAGAAGCAAGAGTCTGAGAAAAAAAATCGAGTTATATAAACAAATATTCTCTGTCTGATGTAACACTCCAAATACCTCATCCACTGAGTAATCTGGATATGACATAACAGGGGAGCTGGATGAGAGCAGGCCAAGTGAGTTGTTCTCACCCTGAAACAAAGGAAAAGAAATCAAAGGGAGGTAGAATTGCCATTCCCAGGCTTCCCTGTGACCTTCCTTGTGCTCTGTTACGTCCATTTCCACCAAAAATTTCCTCTTCCTTTAAACAATGTAGTGGACACCCCTGTGTCCCAAGGGATAAAGGCTCATTGCAGAGGAACTGATGCAGCCCATTTGCAAATGCAGCATGTGACACTTTCCCAGCGTCAGGTCAGGAAAACTGTGGGAATTTAAAAGCAATCCCACAGCTAAAACAATAAAGTCTGGCTGTGGTCGAGTGTCACCAGAGATGAGCCAGCCCTTGTGTGTGGTTCCTGGGAAGGGAGCAGAACTGCACAGGATAAAATGTTCATTCTCTCAGGGGCTGAATGTCTGATCCCCACTCTCTGTGGGGATGGAAGGTCCCAGAGGCCCCTGCTTGGTGAAAGAACTAATCTAAGCATTTTCAACACAGAAATAGAATTCCTCAGGTGTAACCCAGGTGTATTCCAGGTGTAACCCAGGTGTATTCCAGGTGTATCTCACCTGTATCCCAGGTGGGTTCCTGCTGCTGCTGTTCCTGTGCTTGGTGAACGTGGTGTGAGAGGAAACGGGGGGAAAAATGGGGAAAATGAGGGAATTTGGGGGAATGGGGAAAGGGAGAAAATAGGGAAATATGGGGCAATATGGGGGGAAAGGAAAAATGGGAAAGGGGGAAAATGGGGGAAACAGGGGAAATGGGGGAAACAGAAAACAGGAAAATGGGGCAAATGGGGAAGATGGGAAAATGGGAAATGGGGGAAATGGGGGGGGAAATTGGGGAAATGGGAAAAATGGGGGAAATGGGAAAAATGGGGGAAGTGGGAAAAATGGGGGAAAATGTGGAAAAAATGCAGGAAATTGGGGAAACAGGAAAATGGGGGAAATGGAGAGAATGGGGAAATGGGGAGAATGGGAAAAATGGGAATTTTGGGGGAATTTTTTGTGGAATTTTTGGGAATTTTTGAGGAATTTTTTTTTATTTTTGGGGATTTTTTGGGGTGGATTTGGGAAATTGGTTTGGAATTTTTTTTGAACCTTTGGGGGGTTGGAGAATTTTTGGGGGATTTTGGGGAAAGTTTAAGGGAATTTTTTTGGGGATTTGGGGAATTTGGCGGGGTGGGAATTTTCAAAGGATTTTGGGAATTTTTGGGAATTGGAGAGAGATTCTAGGGTGGAATTGGGGAAGATTTTGAGGGGTTTTGGAGGAATTTGGGGAAGTTTTGGGAGCTTTGGGGGGGTTTATTTTGGAAATTGGGGGAAACTTTGAGAGAATTTGGGGAATTTTTTAGGAATTTTTTAGGAATTTATGGAGGGGATTTGGGAATTTTGGGGGGAATTTTTAGGAATTGGGGAGGAGTTTGGAGGGGATTTGGGGAATTTTAGGGGAAATTTTATGGGAATTTGAGGGAGTTTGAGAGGAATTTTGGGGGATTTGGGGGAATTTCTCTCTTTCACCTTTTGCCAGGGACACTGGGCGAGGCCTCCCTGCAGGAAATTTGGGAATTTTGGGATCCAGGAGGGCAATTTTTCCCTCCTCAGATCCCAAATTTTTTGGGGTCTCCCCTTCCCAAAATTCAAAATTTTACCCCAAATCCCAATTTTTTAATGATTTCCCAACCCAAATCTCACTTTTCCTTTTTTTTTCCCTCCCGAAATCCCAAATTTTTGGTTTCCCAAATCTCAAATTTATGGAGGTTTCCATCCCAAAACCCCAAATTTTTTTGGGTTCCCCTTCCAAAATCCCCAATTTTGGCCAAAATCCCCAATTTTTTGAATTCTCTCTCCCAAAATTCCACATTTTGGGGGTTTCCCCCTTCCCAAAATTCCCAAATTTTCAGAATTTCCCTCCCAAAATCCCCATTTCTGGGGGGTTTTCTTCCCAAAAATCCCAATTTTTGGGAATTTCTCTCCCAAAATCCCCTTTTTATTCCCCCAAAATCCCAAACCTTTGGGGTTTCCCCTCCCCAAATCCAAAATTTTGCCCCAAAATCCCAAATTTTGGGGGGTTTTGCCTCTCAGAATCCCAAATTTTGTCCAAAATCCCCAATTTTTGAGGTCCCACTTCCCAGAATCCCAAATTTTGCCCCAAATCCTGAATTTTTTGGGTTCTCCCCTCCTAGAATCCCAAAATTTTCAGGTCTCTCCCTCCCAAAATCCGAAATTTCAGCAAAAGTCCCCAATTTTGGGGGCTCCCCTCCCAAAATATCAAGTTTTTCCCCAAATGCCCAATTTTGGGGATTTTCCCTCCCAGAATCCGCAACTCCCCAAGTTTTGGGGCCCTCCAAAAATGCGGAGGGATATCAGGAATCGGTTGTGAAGGATCACACGCTGCGGAGGGATCTCTCGGTGATGCGGCGAGGAGGTGCGGCAGAGGAACACAGGCGGAAGGATACATGCAAGGCGCTGCTGTTTTCGCCGGCTGTGGCGCCGTGTACAGACCCGGTGCCGGTGGAAGCGGCGTGACAGGGCACTGGGATGCCGGCTGTAGCTGCGCAGCGGCATGCAGCGGCTCGGAACCGGGATCGGGCTCGGAACCCGGACCGGGCTGTTCCAAAGCGACGGCGAAAGCAGTGGGGAGGTGGGGTGGCGGCGGGGCTGTGGAAATAGAAGTGCGCATGCGTGCGGCTGTGGTTGGATGAGCGGCGCGGAGTGATATCGCTGCTGCGGAGCTTGTGGCAAATGCGCATGCATGGGTTCCGTCACTCGGGCAGTGTGAGGGGGCCGTGATAGCGGCGGGCGGGGCTGCGGCAACGGGACACGGGGCTGCGGCTGCGGCCGCGAAAGGAAACGCCGGGACGGCCGTGGTTGCAGGAGGCGGCGGAGCCGCGCTATCCAGCAGCTCTGAAGCGGGGGGCTGCGGTGGGGAAGGCGCGGCTCGGCCCGCCATGCAGCGGCGGTGGCAGGAGCGGGAAAGCCACCACGGGCGGCGGCGGCGGGGCGGGAGGCTGGGCTGGAGCGGCAGGGAGGTGCCGGGAATCTGCCGCGGGGAGGAGCGCGGCGTGCGGCCACCGGGAGCTGGACTGGCCCGGCGAGCAGGGGCGGCCCTGACGGGAGACTCGGCTGGAGCGGGGACAGGCACGGCAGAGGCTGCGGCCGCCGCGGCGCCGGCACGGGGGCTGGCCGGCTGGGGCGCCCGGGTGCTGTGCCGGGAGGGGGGGGATGGCTGAAACGCCGGCAGGGACAGGGTCTGCCGTGCGCGTCTGCCCTGCCGCGGGGCCCGGGGGCAGCTCGGGGTGCGGGGGGAGCGGCAAAGGGCACTGGGGACTCAGCGCGGCCGCGCCCGGCGTGCTCGGCACCCCAGAGCCGGGAGCCGCAAAAACCCAGCAGCAGCGACGGGACTCGGGCCACCACCGGCCCTGCTGTGTTGGCAAAGGGGGCGGGCGGAGCAGCAGGAGCAGTGGCACTCGGGGAGAACGGGACAGAAACGGCGGGGGCAGGAGGGGGCGGGGCCGCGGTGACACAGGTGGGCTCCTCGGAGAGGCGGGATTGCGGGGCGGGGCCCGCGGTACCCGGGACAGCAGGGACCAGCAGGATGGCAAAGGCAGGGATGGCGGGAGGGGGCAGGGGTGGGCAGGGCCGCGGGTACTGGAGCTGTAGGGTCCAAAGGGGAGGTGGGGGGCGTGTCCCATTAGAGACTCAGAGCGGCGGCAAGGGGCGGAGTCGTACCACGAGCCGAGGTCGGCCGGGTGGTTGCTACGGGCACCGCCCCGTGCAGGAAACGACTCAAGCTGCGGCCGACTCCGCGGCAGCCACGGCCCGGCGGGAGATACTATTAAAGTGCTTAATGAAACCTGTGTCCCAAAAGCCTCTGGCAAACATGGTGTACAACAGTCTCGATTTGCGACGGTCCCGCTTTACGGCCCCGTTTACGGCAGTCGCGCTTTACGGCCCCTTTTACGACAGTGCTGCTTTACGGCAGTTTCCGACAGTCGCGCTTAACGACCCCTTTTACGACAGTCGCGATTTACGGCAGTTTTACGACAGTCGCCTTTACGGCCCCTTTTACGACAGTGGCGAGTTACGACCCCTTTTATGACCGTCCCGCTTTACGACCCCTTTTACGACAGTGTTGCTTTACGGCAGTTTTACGACAGTCGCGCTTTACGACCTCTTTTACGACAGCCGCGCTTTACGGCAGTTTTACAACAGTCGCGCTTTACGACCCCTTTTATGACAGTCGCGATTTACGGCAGTTTTGCGACAGTGTTGCTTTACGGCAGTTTTACTACAGTTGCGCTTTACAACCCCCTTTACGACAGTCATGATTTACGGCAGTTTTATGACAGTGTTGCTCTACAGCAGTTTTACGACAGTCGCGCTTTACGGCCCCTTTTACGACAGTCCCGCTTTACGGCAGTTTTAGGACCGTGTTGCTTTACAGCACCTTTTGGACAGTGTTGCTTTACGCCAGTTTTACGACAATCGTGCTTTACAGCCCCTTTTACGACAGTGCTGCTTTACGGCACCTTTTACGACAGTTTCGCTTTACGGCAATTTTACGACAGTCGCGCTTTACGGCCCCTTTTACGACAGTGTCACTTTACGGCTGTTTTACGACAGTTTCGCTTTACGGCACTTTTACGACAGTCGCGCTTTATGGCCCCTTTTATGATGCGTTTTTCACAGGAGGGAACTGGGATGGATTTGGGCTTAGCTGGGGGGCCTAAAATGGGACTGGGAGTGACTGGGATGGTTGGGGAGGGTGAGAGGGAGCCTGAGGAAAATGAACTGGTTGAAGAGATTTCCTTGGGTTTCAGCTGGAGCATCAGAGCAGCTCTGCAGCTGCTGAAGGTCTTCGGAGGCTGCTTCCATGCACAGCTCTGCTGCTGATACTGGGGCAGAAACCTCCGCTGGACATGGACTGCATTTTTCTTGCTCTCATTTGGATGAGAAATGCAGCACATACATGGAGGTGGAGGAGTGATATTATTACAGGGAGCTGGGAAATTGTGTTGTTTTTAATTAAAGGGATGTGTAACTGCCCTCCAGCAACACCATATGGCCCTTGGTGAAGCTGATCCCTGCTGTGTTGTTAGTCAGGGAAGGGCAGATGTTTTGGGAAATAGCTGCTGGAAGGACAGTGGTTCACTGACAAGGTGGGTTCAGAGAGGCTTTCGTGGAAGGCACAGGTGCCTTCAGCTATTGCAAGCCTTATTTACACCAGGAACCCCTCAGTGCAGGGCACAGATGAGCATCCTTGTGCTGGGTTGGGAAGCACAAGATGGTATTTATGGCTGCCTGCTTGCCCAGGGTGAGACTGCTGAGCCCCAACTCACCTCCCTGCCTGCCAGAAAATGTAAAGATGCCCTAATTTCAGTGACAATTAAAGACAATCCCTGTTTATTTCTGTAAGGAACAGCCCCAAATGCAGCCTCCTGGTAGTACCTAATCCTCTGTCAAAGTTGAGCTCTGCCCATTCTTCTGAGCATTTTGTGGTTGATACTGGGCAAGGCTGCCACCCAACCACAGGGTATTGGGAGGGCTGTTTGTGATGTTGACATGTGAATCACCACAGGATTGGGCATGGACAGCCTGCAGTTCAGGAGGAGGATGGATACATGAGAGCATTGCATTGTCAAAAACCCATCCCCAAAAGTTTTTGAGAAAACCTCCCTTGGCAGTGTCCTCAGAAACATATGGGTCTATTCTGTCAGTCAAAGCTTTGGTAATTTGCCTTAAAAATGGAGCATCCAATGCTTTTTTGCAGCCTGCCAGGGGAGATGAGCACTGGTGTCTGCTCTGTGGGGTGTAGGAGGCAGCTCTGCTGTGATTGCAAGCACAGACCTTGCCAGCACAACAGAATATGTTCTAAAATAGGACTGAGGAAGGGGATGGGTCAATAACCCAGCAACACCCATGTAGCCATTTCACAAAACTACAGAATCACCACAAAATCCTTGAATGGCTTGAATTGGAAGGGATCTTAAAGATCCTTTGGTATCAAAGCCCATCCTTCCACTGGAGCAGTTTACTCAAATCCCATCAAACCTGGCCTTAAACACTTCCAGAGATGAGATATCCCCAGCTTCTCTGGGCAGCTTGTGCCAGGCCGCTCCAGCCTCACAGGGAGAGTTTCTTCCTAGTGTCCACTCTAACCCTTCCCTCTGTCACTTGAAGCCATTCCTGCTCATCCTCTCGCTCCAGGCCCTTGTCCAAAGTTCTTCTCCAACTCTCTTATCTCAGACCCTCTTTGGGAACTGGAAGGGGCTTTAAGGTCTCCCTGGAGCCTTCCCTTCTCCAGGCTGTGCAACCCCAGCTCTCTCAGTCTGTCTCCATGGCAGAGGTGCTCCTCTGCTTTCTCCTCTGCAGCAGCTCCCCATCCTTCTTGGGGACAGAGGGCCCCAGCTGGTTCCTGCAGTTTTGCCATCAAATGTCTCCAGCACCCATTGATAATTTATCTCCCTAAGCCCTGGATTTCCTAGCAACCAAATTAGCCCCAGCAACACACAGTGAGTGCATTGCTGGCCAGCCCAGCTTGGCCTCCTCAGGGCCCCACAGGTGCCTGGGTGTTCTCACCAGCCTTGGTGGCCTCTCCCATCCCACTGTACCCCTCCCCAAGCCAACAATCCTCCAGCCTGCTGCTCCTTTGGGACCAAACACCCCTGCTCCTCACCAAACACCCCTGCTCCTCTCAGGGGGGTTGTTGGGAGACTTTTGTCTCCCTACTGTAGTCAAAATGTTTATGTCCTTTGTGTTTACAATGGGCCATTAAGGTGTGCCCTGAAATGCTGTAAAACAAACAGCTCTGGTTTATTTTTTTACAAGTTTGGTACTAACAGCTGGGAATGCTACACAGCCATAAAGGAGCATTAAGGGGCTCCACAGCCATAAAGGAGACATAAAGGACAGGTCAGGAGCCACTGAACTGATAGTCTGCCTGCTGGAATGGCTTTCAAATATAGAACAAGCTCCTGGAATCACTTGCTGTAATCCTGGAGGCAAAAGTGAAGCAGTAAATCTGCTGTGACTCAGAGGGATCACCTGGCAGAGAAACCTTCAGAAACATTACTGGAAGGGGACAGATTTATTCTGGTGCCTGGTGGGAATCCTTCTAAAATTGCTCAGAAAAAAAGGGGAACCTAAATGAGGAGCCCAAACAGCCAATGGATGCAACCTTTAAGCGTTGTGTTCTCTGCCACAAAAAAAAAAAAAAAAAAAAAAAAAAAAAAAAAAAAAAAAAAAAAAAAAAAA